CCCCAAATGGGGTCACAAAGAGGTGAACATGGTGACAACAACGATTTTCAGTCTTAGAGAGCTACCAAGAGCCAGATTAAATGGCTTATCCTGGGTCACATGGCCACTATGTGTCAGAGGTGGGACTTAAATTCATTGGCTCTGAGGTCAGTTCTCTGTCCACTGTATCATGCTGACTCCTTCTATATCTATATCTGTCTATATAGATATATCTATCTATCTTTCTATCTATTTACCTCTATATCTATTTACCTCTATATCTATATTTATATCTATATATCTATACCTATGTCTATCATCTATCTATGAAAGCAGTGTGAGTAAAGAACTGGACTCCAAATAATTAGATAAGCACACACACATATACACACCTTGTAATATATATGTACACTTACATACATTTATATGAATGTGTACATATATATGTGTGTATATATGTATATAGATATGTGTGTATGTATGTATGTGTATATATATATATATATATACACATATATATGTATGTATACACACACACACACACACACACACACACATACTTGTTTGACGGTTTTGTCTTACACCAAAACAGACTAATTAGGGTCTGCTAAAAGGTTGAAGGAGCCACTGTGATCCTTAAAGAATACAGCATTCAATAAACTGGGAAAGCAGCAAGAGAACATCAGGAAATCGAAATCAGGCCAAAACAAAGCCCTGACTTTCCCTCCAGAACTTCATAGAACTGATTCCTAAAAGAAAATACTGGGGGCAGCTAGGTTGTACAGTGAATAGAGCACTAGCCTTAGCATCAGAAGGACCTGTGTTCAAATCTAGCTTCAGCCTCTTACTACTTTTGTGACTCTGGGTAATTAATTTAAACCCAATTTCCTAAAAGAAAGAAAGAAAGAAAGAAAGAAAGAAAGAAAGAAAGAAAGAAAGAAAGAAAGAAAGAAAGAAAGAAAGAAAGAAAGAAAGAAAAAGTCCCAATATATGAAGCAAGAAGTCTGAAAGAATGAATAAGTAAGAAAAGATTAGAGAGAATAAACCAGTCACCTTTTCAAAGAAACCACAAAATGAAAATTTTCAGGCATGTAATAGCCAAAATCACTCTTTACAGATAAGTGAAAGATAGAAAGAAAAAAAGTTCAAGCACTGAGGAACCATAGTCAGGACTAGATGAGATATAATAGCTACCACGATAACAGAATGTAGAACATGGAATAAAATATTCCAAAAGGCAACAGGTATAGGCTTATAAAGAATAGCTTACCTAGTCAAAATGAGAATAATTTAAAAGGGGGGATGAACTTTTTATCGTCTTTTTATTGTTTTATATTTATTTATTTTTAATTTAATATTTTGTTTTCTCCAATTACATGTAAAAGTAATTTTAATAGTCATTTTAAAATTTTGATTTTCTGATTCTTTCTCTCTATCCTTCCCTGCCCCTATTAAGAAGGCAAGCAATTTGACATGGGTTGTACATGTATAGTCATACAAAATGTATTTACATAAAACATAATAGTCATGTTGCAAAAGAAAACACAGAGAAAAAAAGGAAAGAAAGAAAATAAGAAAGAAAAATAAAGAAAAAAATATGCTTTGATCTGCATTTAGATTGTATTGGAATGGAGTTTTAATAGAATAGAGGGCTTCCAAGCATTGTGGATGAAAAGATCACAGCTGAGTAGAGACTTTGAAATACAAACAGAATAGTCAAGAGATATGAAAGAGTAAATATTAATGAGCAATTAAAGGGGGCAATATAAAAATGAACTATTTGCATTCAAATGGTGGTGGAGGTAGAAGGGGAGAAGCTGATATGTTTCCTTTCATAATGTAATGTTACCAAGGATCATAAATAAATCCAAATAAACCAGAGGGCTTGAGAATAGTTTTGTTATATTTTGAAGATATTAAAAAAAAGAGGAAATTTTGGGTTTGTCATCACTGGAGGACTTTTAAGTGAAGATTTGATAACTACTTGCTGGGAATGTGGTAGAAGAGATTCTTGATCAAGTATAGAAGCTGAGATTTGGTCTTTGGGTATTTTTTTTCTTTTTGGGGACTCTAAGATTCTGATTCTATTAAACTGATGAGAATTTATGTTTTAAATGATTAGAAAGCCTAGGTTCAAATTCAGCCTCAGATAGTTACAAGGCTAGTCACAACCTCTCTGTATCTCAATTTCTTCATATGTAAAATAGGGGTCTAATAATACTACTACCTCATAGATTGCTATGAATATCAAATTAGTTACTATATGTAAATAATTTTTTAAACCTTGAAGTCCTCTATAAATGCTAGCTATTATTAATTATCATTCCACCTTAAGGAGTTTCAATGAATAGTGTGGACTAGATAGTCTTCAAGTGTCAGATTTGTCTTACAGAGTGCATGGAGGCCTCTTTCTACCCAAGTATTAAATGGAAGAGGTAGATCCAGATATCACATATTTAGCACTAAAACTGGGCTTATAGGTTATTTCAGTGGCACTGTATCTTATATCCTATGAAGACACTTCTGATTTGTATCCAGATAAATATCTTTATGAATATCCAAAGAGGAATAAATCTTAATCTTTTCAATCAGTCATTCTCTAAAGAAACACAATTAGATAAGTAAAGACTGAATAATATTATGGTTATACTTTTTTGTGTTTGTATATATGCAGCAAAAAAGTATATAAAACAAAACCACAATCCACACAACACAGTCTGCTCATTGTATACCATAAAATTCTATTGCCAGGGTTTCATCATTGGGCAAAGAAGCATTTGTGAATAACATTGTTCTAACAGGAGGTCTTCCTTTGAAATCTAATCTGTAAAAGAAAAATAAATAAATGTAGAGGATATTTATAAATCATAGCTCAGATTGGGACTCCTTACAAGTTTATTCTCTGGGAACTAATTTAAATGGACTTTGTTGTGGTTGCTGTTGTTTGTCCCTCATTCTCAAAGAGGACCACATTGACATTTTTATCGTAGGTGAATCGATTTTTCTTCCTAGCATTTAGCTGCCACAGTTTCCTATATTAGGAATGATATAATCTGGTGAGTTAACAGGTAGTAGATAGACTCACCTTTGGGAGGTTGCATCAGATTTGTGCAAGAAAAAAGTTGCCTCCATTTCATTCCATATAGCATGTGATGAGAATGCAGCTTTTCATAGTATCCCATTGCTAGTATTATGCTAATAATTGACACTTTTCAACCGTATTTCAAAACTGAAGGAAAGCAACATGTCCAATAATTGTCGTTATTTTTTCATCTAAAGTGCTTTCAACCACCTCTTCATGAGCACAAATCAGCATTTCATCCTTTCTTTTTATTGTAAGAACAATGTCTTTCCCTCTTACAGAAAAGTTTTGCCTTTAAGTTAAATGAATACATTGTTGGCCTTCCAAGCAGGAACTTGAGGTCTCTGAATTTAAAAGACATAAATTATCCATTAATTGTACTATCCCAGTGTTACATGGCCCCCAACCACTTGTACTTCACATTACTTTGAGCTAACAAAGTCTCTGCTTCTTAAGACAATTGTGACAGCCTTTGAACTGGATATCCTGCCCTAGAGACTATCCTCCACCCAGCCTATCTATCCTTTATGTTGCTATTTGGGTAATCCTTCTAGTGTAATCAGCTAATCAATAAGGATTTATTTTCACTAAGTGTCAAGCATTGTGCACTTATTGGATTATATGTGTTTAAAATCTTCAGTATTTTTCAATTACACAACACTCAAATGGATATGTGATAAGATCAATATGCTTTCACTTCAGTGAAGATGATTACTACTTGCCCATCCCATGAAACTCTTTCTGTGTTTTACCACAGGTATGATGCTTGTTTCACAGTAGTACAACAATTGGGGAAGAATATCCATATGAAAATTTGGACCTTTGTTTATTGTAGAATCTGGAGTCATTAAAAGAATTTTACCATTTTCCAAAGGTATTCATTGAATTTTTGAAAACGATTCTTGTGTATTTACAGTGCCTATCCAATAAATGTTAATAGATGAACTCTATAGATTATTTGTCCAACTTCATAACATAATCTGGACAAAATGGCATGTTCATTCACTTGGTTTTTCCTCTGTGAAGACTTGGGACCAAATGATTTTAAATGACTAAGAATCCCATCTAGGAGACTTTAAGATATTCCAATCAGCTCAATATCTTTTGCCAACAGGACAATTTGGAGGAACTTGTCAACTATAGCAAAACACTCTTTCACTCTGATGCTATCCTTGTCCTCCTTCATACAAGTGACAAACACTTTTAGTAAACAAATATCTTCTGATTTATACTTTGCCAGCTATAAATGATCACTAAACAAGGCTATGTTTCTTGTTTTATCTTTCAAATACTTTTGCATAATTTTGATGTAGGCAGGAAGGAAACCATTTTGGAAGGAGCTTTTAAAGTAGTTTTGGTCTACTCTTTTACACTCAATAAAAAAGCATAATGGAATCTTGTGTTCTCTATTTTTAATTAGTTGTATTTTGACAAATGTATTATATTCTGTGGAGAATAAATTAATCAACAACTGTTTATTAAGCACCTTTTATGTTCTGAGTACTATGATAAATGCTGGAGATGCAAAGACAAAAGTGAGACAGTCCTGCCCACAAGAACCTTACATTTTACTGAAGAAATATAACATGTTCATGAACATATAACATATTCCCAATAGAAGTTATTCCCAATAAATTCAAAGTAATATGAGGTTAATAACAATCCATGGAATAAGGAAAGACTATTGGAAGAAGATAGTACCTTAAAGAGAGTTAAGAGTTCCAAGTGATAAAGGGTAGTGAAGACAGATAAAATGTTATGCAAAGACACTGAAGGGAGAGAAATGGAACATAATGTGTTAAGAATAGCAAATGAGCCAGTTTTGACTGAATTTTAGCATACATGAGGATAGAGGTAAAGGGGACATGAATACAGTTTGGAGAGATAGGCTGGAGTCAGATTGTAAAGGCCTATAAAAAACAAAGAGAAGAGATTGTATTTATTATTTATGAAAGTCTGAATTTTATTCTGATAACCTAATCAAGTAACCACTCAATACATGCATATTCTTCTCATAAATATTTAAATACAGATATTAAGGAAAATAATCATATGCAGTAGGTCAATAGTTATTAATGATCTCTAGGCCACCTTTCTAGCAATAATAAGATCTGAAATTCTTCTTACACTTTGATATTTTCCCCTCCTTCAGATACCCTGAGAATTCATCCCTCAATGCTAGGAAAATTGTGTCAGCATCAGCATAGACCTCCTCTGTTTACTCTTGGTCTAGTCCATCTTCCTTCCCTTTATTTTTTCTCTTTAGGATCATTTCTATCTCCTGCATGAGTCAATCGTAAATCCAGGGCAATGATGATAATGTGCCACTGTGGTGGTTCTTCTGCCTTTTTAGATACACACACATACACACATGCATAAACATATGTGTATATATGTTTTTGTGTATACATACATATATATGCATAAATACATTATGCACGTATACAAATTGTGGAGTGTATATGTGTGTATTAATCAAAAACAAAAAGTTAGTTGTTTAGGAGAAGATGGCCAGTTCTCTGGGAGAACAATAAATCCAAGAGGTATTACCCTGGACTAATCCCCTCCCCAGCCACAGTGGTAATGAAAATGAAATAGCAAAGGCAAAAGTGCTTCTCCTTATCAGAGATAATGCCAAGAAGATACAGCTGTTGATCACTAGATCTGTAGAGGTAAATTCACACCATCTTCACTTCTTGTATAGGCTCCTAGAACATGGTAAGGAAAACAAATGGGTACATTTCATTCATTCAATTCAATTTAACACTTTCTAAATATCTAAAGTTTATATGATACTTTGCAACAGGCTGGGGATTAAAAATAAATTTAAAATATGCAACTGAAGTAATTTTACACTTAAGAATATTAATCAGGAGGCCAATTATCATGCGAGGGGAAAAATTGCAACTTAATTTTTCACTAACCTTTGGTTCCCTTTATAATCCCATGTATTATTTTATACATTTAAAAACAATATTCTTAAATGGTACCCATAAGCTTCACCAGATTGACAAAGGGGTCCATGCTACTAAAATGGTTAAGGCCCACTACACCTGGAGGATACAACATATATACACACACAGTTTGGAGGTTAAGGGATTATTTTTGCATTGTGATGATCATGGCTTTATGTCCATTTAATTTTGTTAACTGTTGTTTTGTTATATCTACTTAGTAAAAGAGAGAATTATATTACTTAAATATTACAGGTCTCATACAACTGTGGAAACCTTTATTTCCTTTGTTAAAGGTTCCTTTGCAACCTTTGTTAAACCATGTTTAACTTTGCATGTTTTGAGTAACCATTGTTATGAAAGCTCATCTATTGCATTCTATACCAAGAGACAAGTGACCAGAAATCAAAAAGCAAATCTTACAATTTGCACAGAACAGCAAGGTTGCTAACTTGAAAAATCTTCCTTACAGAAAAAATGGTGCAATTTTTCCTAGATTTCCATGTTATCAGTGGAAGAGGGAACACCACTAGGCAAATTATGTTCCTAGGATTACATATGTGCTAGTGGTTGTGATAGAACACTTCTACAATGCTAACTCCCAGCAAATGAAAATAATTCGCAGTTTCTTTATTCCACCAATGAAGCTGCCATTCTTCCTAGCCTGCTTCTCAAGCTGATGTCTGATGCTTCTCCACAGAGCTGCTACTATTACCTGCTACCAAATTTCTTCTTTGTTTAACTGGGCCCTCTATCTACCAGTGTAGTCTTTTACTGCAGGGTTTCTACTTTCTTAAAGTAAGTCTTTTCCCCAAATTCTGGTGGACACATTTTCAGCATTTGTTAGTCAAATCAGTAGCCCAATTAGATAATTACATAAAGATCAAGAGCCTTTTCAAGATGTTTTTTTTTTTCCCCTCAACTATAATTCTCCACACATTCCACTCAACCTCCACTACCACCTCAGTGGGAATTCCCTCTGCCTCATTTTTTATTTAGATTGATATAAATAAATTCTTTTCATTTCCAATTATGTCTATGGCACCTAGCTCCAGGACCCTGAAAATTACGCCTTAGGCTCCAGGAGGAATTTAAGAACAATGGAAGGGGCAAGAGAGTACTAGATTATTAAGCGTTTGATCCCCAATTCTGACATCTAAAATGTTTAACCCAGAAAAAGTGAGTTAATATCTCAATTTTCTCATGAATAAAATGGGTACAGTGATTTTTTTTTAATATAGCTTGCTGTGGTTTTCTGAGGAAAGTACTTTGGAAATGTTAAAGCCTTATAAAATGTAAGTTCTCCTTAATTTCATTTGATTTGTCATCTGATAAGTGAGTATTTCTTGCACATCACCATAGACTTTTCACAACTCTTCCATCTTGAAAGATTTTCTTTAAATCCCTTATAAAGGAATGATTCAACCCAATACAGAACTACCTATTTGGTATTCATTTTGTAGCATAATGAATAACAGGTTTATGTTGTCTTCCTTGGTACCCTCAAGGAAGATACACACACACACACACACACACACACACACACACACACACACACAGAAACACACACACACACACACACACATGCTATACCTCATTCCCAGCCATGTGAGGTAATCCCAAATTTATTATCTGTATCATCTATTCTATTTTTTCCTTATTCACAAACTCTTAGAGACTTTCCTCAAAGGTGAATGTGACTATTAGTCTAACTTTTATTTCCTAGGTAACAGGTTATGATGCCCAGATACAAACTAGTGAACATGCTCTGACTTTCGTTAGGGTAATTTCTTTAAGAAAGGGAAGATATTCTACCTGGGCATTCAACTCTTCATCTACCCACAACATTCCAACTTATCCCTTATTAAAAAAAAAAAATTAAGAAGCAAGGAGGTGTGAACAACTCAGAGAATTTGAATGATGAGAGCATGCCTTAAACCTTTGAAGATGAAAGTTCTCATGTTCTTTTAGACTATATGGATGATGAGATTCTGTGGGCTCTTTGCCACTTCAAAGGGTCACAGGAACAGAACTTCCAAGACAGATAATTTGAAACTATTTTCCCTGAAAAATATAAAGTTTCCTCCTAGGTTTTCTCCTGGCATATATTTCCATTGTTCCATCTTTTATTTTTTCCCCCTAGTCCTTGTAATATTGTTTTTAAAAATATTTAGAAATCAGTTCTCATTGCTATTTTCCTACAAAGCCATTAGAGTAGGACAAACCCCACAAAGCAAGCTACACAACTTTCCACATTCTTCTCAGTTGCTCAAATCACTGATGCTCTCCCCTCCCTCTTTAGAATGAGGGTGGTTTTCTCACAAGCTGGCCTATCTGGACAACTTCAATTTAGGGAACAAATCTGCTTCCTGAACTGGGAGAATTTATCTTTTCATTAGATTGATATGGTCATTCCCCTACTTGTCCACATGAGAAAAGCTGTTACTGGGTGGTTTGTAAGAATGCTAATTGTAGTTAGTACACCCTCTATGTACCTCCTATGAAAGAACTGACTAATAAAAGTAGGTATGGATTAGTAAATATTATGCAATTATTTGCAATTCTGCCTAGGGGCAAGAGTGCATCAGCTTCTTCTATTAGTTCTGCTTGCCAGAGAAAAATTTTCTTGCTAATTTAGCATTTCCCAAGGCAATTCTGTAACATCAGGTCATCCCCAAAATGATGATTCTGAGAGTTTGACTACTATTTCCTTGAATATTTAAGCTATTAACTACAAATAGTGTTAGTTAGTGTTTGAAATTTACTTGTTAGAGACAGAAAGAACAACAAAAACAAAATATTTATATTTGCTATTATCCAAGAGTGGTCTGTGATGATGAGCAGATGCTATAAAAACAATTTCTGGCAGATGGTCTTTTTTTTCTTTTTTTCCCCCATCATAAAAATCAGTAACACATCTGGCATTAATACACACTTATTGTCTTTCTCAGGTGCAAAGACTATTATCAGTTCAGAGCTAGGACTACAGATAGGCAAGGACTATATCAGGACTTTGAGAGCAGTCAAGATGGTAAATAATGGAAAAATGTACACTGAGCCTTATCATCTACCCTACTGTGATGCCCTCTGGAATCCTGGACATTGCCTTTTGGACTGCTGTTGCACCCTAAGGACTCCTCATTTTAGGCATCCTCACTTCCACCGTTCCCTTAGGACCACTGGGCCTATTCATCCTTCCTACAAAGGATCTGCCATAACTACAATGTGAACTTATTGAGATTAGAGACTGCTTTGCCTTTCTCTTTGGATGCTCCAAGCTTGCCAAAGTCCTTGACACATAGTAAGCTCTGAATAGATGCTTTATCATTCCATTCCATGAGCAAGGTAAGGTGTAACACACATGGGGGAAACAGTTTAAGGGGCACTTTTTAATATTACTTTAACAAAATGAATATGTGTATATACATATACATACATACACATATGTGTATGTGTACATATGTGTGTGTGTATATATATATACGTACATACATACATATATATATGCAGAGAGAGAGAGAGAAAGCACACTAGAAAATGTCAATATCTATTGCATGATTGTTTTCATTTTGTGATAAGTCCAATGCACTTTACAGCAAAGGTTTAAAGCCACCAGTGGTGAGTTAGTAATACGTAAAGGGCACTTTTTTCTAACAATGACTTAGGAGCATACAATCTTATAACCTTGTTCAGGGTATAGACATCACCAACTGTTTGTTTTCTTCCTGAAAGGAATTAAACCCATTGGAACTGCTAGCAGGCCAGTGTTATCAGAGTGACATTTTTTCAACTCTATGAAACTCATTGTCATAAATCTTTTTTTTCTTCCAAAATTCTCTGTATCTATGTTTGTGCTTCCAACCTGCTTTTGTAACATAATAATCACTTATCAGTTCAAAGACATTGCCTTTCTACTCCTACCTTCTCCCACTTGTAATTGTGCTAATGCCTTTCAGAAAAGAAATAAATTTCCCTTACAACTGTGGAGAACTGGAACAGAAACCCAAATTGCCCTGTAACTAAATGCTGAGTTCATATGCTGGACAAATACCCAAGAAACTCACTGATAAGCTTAATGGGTATTTCATCTTTCTAAATCATACAGGATCAGGCCCAACATATTTAACTCATTTCCTCTGACACAATTGTGTGCTTTTCAATTCTAAAATTGTTTGGAACTATATACCTAAGCTAGCATAAACCTAAGGAACATTTTGGCAAATTTAGATAACACTTCTCTCTTGTCTCTGTGGAATTCTTATTCTCTCTCTCTCTCTCTCTCTCTCTCTCTCTCTCTCTCTCTCTCTCTAATAAAAAAGAATTAGGTTTCTTTTAAACTTGTACTGCAGGTATGCGAGACATAGATACTCAGATATATGGAAAATTTTACTATTCTTATCATTCCCATTGATTATTAGCATCACAGGCCCTTGGAAAGCCAAATAGAAAACAAAGGGGGTTGTTGATAATTCCATGTAAGTTCTGACTGAAACATCCAAAGAGCTCATCCAAAAGCTCAATACCCCATTCAAAGATCATTTCAATTAAATACGTACATCATGGAATTAAAATTGATAAAGATCTGAGAAATCATCTAAAGTAACTTGTTTTTAAGATTAACAATCTGAGACACAAAGAAGGGATACATCTTGCCCCTGCAAACCCAAGTGGTAAGTAGGACTTGGGTCCTGCTTGTATGACATCAAATCTAAACCTCTTTCACTGAACCAGAATAGTCTTCTTTTTGTTAAAAA